CCGTTTCTATACTGGGACCCACACAGACTGTAAGGAGAGCAGTTACCTTAGTTTTTCCCAGGAGGTCTCCCGTCCAGGTACTGACCAGGCTCACACCTGCTGAGTTTCAGTGGGTTACCAGTTGTGAGTTGCATGATGATATAATTGCTGGCAAATCTCTCCTGGCAAAGTCCAGTTTTGTCACAAAATTCCCTGAGTTTGATTCAGAAGTTTTAGTTCGAGATCTTTGGCAGCCAAATGAAAAGAAAAAGTGAAAGTATTAACTTCTATAATGCAATGTTTTTACAACAGCAGGTTTTAACAACAGTCAATTAAAGGAAACTAATTTTCATGGTCCTATGCCATTTTTCCATTGCTTAAGTATACTGTGCACTCTTGTGACGATGATCTCGGTGAAAAATGTAGCATGTTGTTAAATGTATGTCCTTTATGCTTGTGTTTTCTGCAGTTGGCGATTGAAAAAGAAGAGCTAAAAATTCATCTGCAGGCTTCCAAAGATGCTCAGCGGCAGCTCACAGCAGAAGTATGGATGTCTTGTCCATCTCTTTTCCCATTTTTGATAGTTACTTTTTTTATTTTTCATGACTCGTGCTCGGTGCAATACAATTCCCAGAACATTTATTTTGTTGAACGATATAAATGTTCTTTAACTGTCACTTCTGAAATAAAATGACAGAATCTGAAAAGATTAAATCGCTTGATGAAGTTTTCCAGAAATGACTTTTCTCTTTAAACATTTCCAGCTATATTTAAAAAACGATGGAAGTGATCTGAATGGCTTTACTGGACATCCCAGAATGCACCTGCAAAATTACCCAGCTTGAGGCTTACCTGCTGTAAACACACATATAATTCTCCTTCACTTTGATTTCTGCTTAATAAAGCAGATTTTCTTTCTTTTTTATTTTGACATTTCACTTTGAAAAATGTGACATTTCTGCTTGTACCATCTGCTGGAGTTGTTTCTAGCATGATGTTCTACACACTCTGAAATTACAAACCTGCCCAGGATGCTAACATAAAAACTTGAGGCTTTGTTTATGGGCAACAAAAAATGATTTTAGAGATGCAAGAAGTATCTATACTTATTGTACACTTAAAAACAACAGGAGATACCTCTTATACAATAAGAGCTCCTTCATACAACGTATTTACTTACAAAGCGACAGATGACGTAAAGTGCTGCAAAAACTATTTTATCAACAAAAAAAAATGAATAATGTAATGCACTTTAGTCAATATTTTCTGGGCAACAAGGCACTAATGACAGTTCTCACCCATGCATGTAGTAGAAGGATGTTTTTACTGGAATCCCATTGTGTGCTTGTAACAGTGGCCTGTCTCCTGTGTCTTTTAGCTCCATGAGCTTCAGGATCGGAACGCAGAGTGCCTGGGGATGCTCCAGGAATCCCAGGAAGAGATGAAGGAGCTCAGGAGCAAGTCCGCCCCCAGCTCAGCCATGCGCTGTCACCAGTCCTATGGGCTCTTTCCTATGGTGAGACCTCCCCCCTTACTCCCTCATCTGGCCTCAGCATGGGCTACACCAGCCTTTTCCCTGTCCTAGCCTGAGACCCTGGCTGGCATTGACAGGAGTGTCCATATTAAAGATCTGTACGCCTCACAGCGATGTTTCAAACCTGAAGACTTTAAAGAGCTGGACTTTACTCTTTTGTCACATACAACATAACCTCCGCAGAGCAGAGATCAAAATCAGGTTCTGTGGGCGTCCTGTCTGCATGGAGTTTGCATGTTCCCCACGTGTTCGTGTGGGTTTATTCCCACAGTTCAAAAACACGCTGGTGGGTTCATTGGCTCTGGGAAAATTCGCCCTGGTGGAAGTGTGTGTCTGTATCTGTCTGCCCTGTGATGCACTGGCATCGCGTCCAGGGTGAACTCCGGCTTGCGCCCGTTGCTTGCCAGGATAGGCCCAGGTTCCTAGAGTGGTTAGCAAGTGGATGTAGGGAGAACAGGGCAAAGGGTACTCATAGTGAGACTCAATAACAGACTGAAGAGAAATTAAGAGGACATTACAGCAGCAGAAGATTTACAGCCCTTATTGGTAACACAATACTGCCTTCTTACCAAGATAATGATGTTAATGGCTAAGCTTAATATATAACCGACTTTGGGACAGAGTGTGGTGGCTTAGCAGACATTACACACTTGTTATGCTGCTACTGTCAGAAAGAAACTGCAGCTTTGTGGTTGACTGAAGCCCAAGCGCAGGAAAGCTCAGGTGAAGCAGGGAGCGAGTGCGAGGGTGATGAGGGAGAGAGTGTGGCGCAGGCAGGCGGGTCCCAGGGTGGACGTCTCCAGGAAAGCAAGGACGCCCGAGCAGGGAGAATAATGAGGGGGAAAACTGTCGAGTGAGGTGAGGCTCTCAGCAGAAAATGGCTGGAGAGGGCTGGACAGTTAAAGTAATAAGAAATGCTTACACTTATATAGCGCTTTTCTGGACACTTCACTTTAAAGCACTAACGGTAACGCTCAGCGGAGTGAACCATCTTAAATGGGCAGTACATTAAGTGGTCTGAGTTGTGAATTGATTCCCCGATTGATAATAATTAGTTCTAATTGACCGCCGTCCCGACCTCGTCTGAACAGGCTCGGTTGAAGGCTGAGAGCTCGTGCGACTGCGGCGGTTGTCCCTGGCAACCGCGGTACGCAAATCGGTCACAGCCTGGGCATGACAACGGTGTTAAGAAGCGAGCGAGTATGGCAGGCTCATTTGATTGCTAAAATAAGTGTTTAAAAATAGGGTTACTATATAGATGAGAATGGGCCCCAATGTGTGCCGTGGGTCTAAGGATAGGTGCAACCAATGGCTCACTTAACAACAGCAAAAACAAATAGTCCTAAACTAAAATTAGGAAAAAAATACAGCTTTCCTCAGTCACCACCGTTAA